GTGTCATTCAGGGGCTACAGGATGTTATTAGTCATCCTCAGTGTGCAGAAATCTTTGTGGTTTGTGATTTCCTTTATGGGAAGGACATGGGTGTGTGTGAAATGAGTGAGGAAAAAAAGACAGGAAACATTAAGTGGATTCAGTAGTTTCATTAAGTTGCAAGACACATATCTTTCTCCCAGTGGGCAATTTATGCTTTCACATAAAACAAGATGTGTCCTTGATGTTAAACACTGGGAAGTCCAGAGGTGGCTTATCTTTTAGAAAAAAGTTACACAGGATTATACAAAACACAACGCTTCTGCCATTAGTTCTTAATAAGTTACAGGATTAACTATTTACAAATCCGGCTAGAAGCACAGAACTGGTGGTACACATTGACGCAAAATGATATTTACAAGTCTATACACACATTCACTGCTATCCCCATCTTGCTGTGGAGAGAGAGAGAGAAAGAGGAGAGTTACTCACAATGAATAAAACATTTATCAATTATTTGTCGGTGAATATATTTTAAAAGTTTGCATTTACCTATAAGGTGTTCAGTACGGAGTTCTGAACACTTTCATATACTTCGTTGTAGATATTTTCCTTTGATGTCATCCCATCAAGGTACTCTGTGCAGAAAGAGAAATGAGAAGTGAATAAAAGTCATTTATAAGAGAGAGAGGGGGATATTTTGCTTATATTTTGACAATATGGATGTGGATAGGAAAACATAGTGAGGTAGGCACATGAGGGCCTAATATACCTATTCTGTCACAGTTGTTCTCCATCTCCTTCCTGTGTCTCAAGTACATGGGCCAGACATGGCCATCGAACAGGTCTGGGGGGTCAGGGACTGTGTATGTCCTTGTACTGCAGAAACACAATCAGTCAAGTCACATTATAGCCTGCAACAACTCGTCTAACGCAATCTGTCAATGTCATCCGAAGAGCTTGTTACCTTCTCCTCCTTTTGCACTCCTCATAAGGAATGGAAATGTAGAAACATTTGTCATAGACGTCAATTAGAGGCCTGCAGAGGGGGACAAAGGTTCAGATTAGTCCAAAGCTTAAAAGGTCAAGATAGGTCACATTTTAGAGCTTCTGTAGAAAAATAGGTAAAAAGCAAGATGGCCCACTTGTAGTTGTAGATGAGGAAGCCCTCCACAATGAGAATATGGATCCCTTCTGAGTCAGCTTCCTCAGCTTCAGGTGACAGGCTGACGCCGTGTGAGCGGGCAAACTTGACTGGGTTCTCCTGCCAGCCTTTCACAGTGCTGATCATAGCCTCCATGTCCAGGGCGGAGATCACTGATATAGAACAAGAGAGAAAAGCGGGCTTCACCACACATGCAATAAACACTCCTCACCAATGTGCTCTAACACACATTAGTCACAGTTAGTGAATGTCTGTTGCATTCACAGAATAGATGATAGAAATCACAAAGTTTAGGATTGATTGGTTACTAAACTAAAGAAATGTGCAGGAAAGAAAAAGTACATTACTGCATGGTTTTTTCTACGTGAAATCCATTCTTACCATCCCACTGTCTAAAGCCGTCCTCCCCGACTTCTATTTGATCGGGTTTCTGAAATAACAGTCACCAATAAAACATTGCTGCAACCTAGTAACCAGTTGGAGCTGATCACACCTGGACAGGACAAGTCAAGGACTCGTCTCCACCAAAAGTAGCGCACGGTGCAGGTTAAATGTTTCCCTAATCTTGCGCTTGTGAAATATCGGTTGCAAATGCCTTTTTTTCAAAACTATGCTCATAACGTGTTTTTAAAGATGAAACTTCTGGCTCGTTTAAGAAACTTTTTTTTCGCGATTTGGAAATTGTGATTTCGATGTTTTGCAGTTGTGCGTCCCTAGACGACACCCTTGATGTATTGCTAAAGTAGTAAAACATAAGATATGAGGTGAAAAGATACATGTGGTAGAGCTCATGTTGCAGAATTTGCAACATGATTGGTACAAAGTTTGACTTTAAGTGGGGACGTTCAGCCCTTTCATTGGCTGTCCAGGAGACAATCAGCCAGATGTATTACTAGGCTACTGAGTTGACAGGACATCTGCAGGTCAGACTGGTGGGTAAAAATGTCCTCAAAGGCAAATTTAACATAGCAAGTGAACTATATCAAAAATAATACTTACAGTAACTCAACATTAATGCATTCAAATGTTAACTGTAGCTTTAAACTATACTGTAGTGATTCAATTGTCAAAAGCTTAAAAGCATGATGACTTCAATTTTCTTACCTTGAAAAAGTCATCCTGATGCACCACACAACAGTTGGGTAATGTCTTAAGTAGTCTATTTGTCAAAGTGGTCTTCCCACCGTTGGTCACTCTGAAATTAAAATATATTTCATGCCACACAGATGAGTTACACTCTAGGATTTTGCCAAGTTTTATCGCTAGACAAATAGGTAAATACTTTAAAAGACACTTACCCTCCAATGCCAATGATGAACTTCATTTTCACTTCTGTGTATTGGTCACCTCTGGAATTCAGTCAATAAAAGAAGGGAACCCAGCCAAAACAAACCGTCTCTCAAAGGCTTCTTCTGAAAACCTTTCCTTCTCTTCTGTCACAGATGTTCCCCCCTTTTACTACTTCATTGATAGACAATCCCTTTGCCGGGCATATAAAGGATTTAGCTGCAGCGTCACAGCCTCTCAAACCAATCATCTGCCAAACCAATCATCTGCCTCGTCCTGCAACCAATAACCTGCCGCTTAACAGCCCTGCAGCACCAATTGGAGGAGGACTTAGGAGCCTCACATTTGCATGAAAGTAGATCCCAAATCTTCCACCTGCTGTCAGGGGTCACTGAAAACTGGCCAAGCAAAGGCACATCAAATGCCCATACCCAACAAAATTATTGGAAGATAACAGAGAAATGGTAATGGAGCTAAGCTGGAAAACACAAAATTAATTCTCTCTTTGGAAAGAACCACAATCACATGTGCAGTCTCAGATAGAGAGAGCTAATGTAGACTGGTGATGCGGCTAGTTTAGAGGTTGTATAGGTCTGTATTTGTTCTTAATTTGAGACAAAATCTTATAAAACAAATCCAAATCTAAAATGTAAGACATGCGATTTAGCTGCAGATTATGGAGAGGAGGCAAGGGCTGCAAGTTGTACAATCATTAAAATGAACTGTAATACATGCCAGAGTATAAAAGTCACATCCTGTAACTGAAACATCTGTATCACAGCTCAAAGTAAAAAACTCATAATTAGGGGGATTTAGAAGGGAAAAGTTTCCATGCCTAGACAGCTCCGGGTAGGTGAAAACCAGAAGCACTATATTTAGTTGGCTGTTGTGTGTCTGCCTGCTGCGTCACGCATATTTCTGATGCAACCAGCTGGAGTAAGTGGCCACCAGCCATGTGACCACAGTGTCTCAAATCACAGCTATAGGTCTGATAACACAGGTCTATTTCTTTGCACTAAAGTACATGCCGCTTATCAGCCCTTTTTGTTACACAACTCCGGATGTGTGCAATTTAACCTTGTGTTTGTTGTGTTTTTACAGTGTTTGAACAAATAGGTTTACAGATTATTCTGAAAGTGTGAAAGAGGTGAACTTTGAGTCTTGGCTATCAGAGCACATGTTCATCCTCAGGGCTTCGTGTTTCACTGCTATTACAATCCCAAAGGAGAGGGGATGCCTGTTGACACCATGTGATGATAATATTTCTTTAACCCAAAAGTGATGTCAGCTTTAATGTGTTGTAATAGTGTTTGTGAACAAAAAACGGTTGAGACTTTGGGATTATAAAGCCATATAGGCTCAGACATTTTGTAGGGCACCAAACCATGTGGTCCACCATGTGAAGCAGGTGGTGCACACACTTTTTCCTTCTTAGACTCAGAAGACAGACAAACCTTTACCTGACCGGCATTTTAGTGGATAGTTGTATGAATCTGTTCATAAAAAGTATTGTAAAAATGCAGATTTGTGGTTTTAGAGGAAGTTACATAACTATTTCTGGATGACATTACACTGTTGTTGACCAAGTCCACATGTCTACCTCTTTAATCACAAAATGCCATATTTATAATATGTATAAGTTAACAATGTGCTTATCAGTTAGTTTTAGAAGCATTGGTAGATGTTTTAACTTTAGAGAGAGTCCAGGTCAGTCCGATAGCCTGAAGATACTTGAACGTGAATTTCTTATATTAATTTTATATATATCGTTGGAGGAAGTTGTGAAGTTAATGTTTTTATTGTAATTTAGCCAAAAAAAACCCCACAGCATTACACTTTTGTGTAAATTACTTTCATAATGGCGCCGCAACACTATAAATCTTATCCCGACAACACCATACAGAATGATATTTTAGAGTTAATGGTTGAAGGCTGCATTTGAGCTATATATTGTTAAAGCTACAGAGGCTGTCTGAAAGTGGGTCAAACCTTTCACTGCCATAACAGATAAATATAGACAAATCACTACAGGAAAGTACACAAAATATTACAGGAAAACAACTGGAAAAAAGTGTATTAAAACAAAAGATATTGTGATATTGTGAGGAATGGTAAAAATGTCAAGCGACATGCAGAAAGAACTATTTATTATGGGTTATGTATTGCACTAATACTGCACCGTGTGATCATAGTAACGTGGCATATAAAAATAAAGAAAGGTCACTTCAGGAGTATTATGTCCATACGACTCCTATGAAGCACAGGACTGTGGACAGGTGACACAAAGGACGTCAACTGACTTGGCAGACACACTCATAAATCACAATTATGCCCCTTAATAACTCATCAGGAACTGTCAGTCAAAAAACATTCTGGACCAAAGTGGAACACATTTAGAGGCAATAAAGAAGATGAAAATATAAGCTGTAATGTACATATGCATGATTGTCATTGAAAGTCATCTGTTCTGTATCAGAAGTCAAGGTTGGACATAAGAGGTGGCTAATCACGGCATGACAGAAGCTTGTTTTAGTTTACTCATTTATTTTTATTTTTTTTTACAAACAGTAAATGGCACATTTTCATAAATAACATTTATAGCAATCAGTTTGACTCTATTTTTAAATATATTTAATTTGCTTTCCATCTTGTAAAAGTACCTTTGGAAACAAGATGGCAAATGACTTAAAAACTGACAAAAACAACTGTAACCCAGACAGAAGGATATAAACAAGCATGCCACCTGCATATCAAACTCTGGAAAACTGTAACACACGTTTGCATCAGTAACATCAACTGTAGGTCTAAGAAGAACAAAATCATTGCACATCATTTTTCCGTAAACAGCCATGAAAGTTGAAACTAAACAATACCCATGCCATTCATATCAAAACCCAAATATCTGTGCATACACCTGTCTCAAAAATATATATACACAAGTATGTACACTTTGCACTAGTAATGTGCACTATTCCCGGCTCTCAGAGGATGCTTGAGTGTTCATCCAAGTCCTTAAATTTTAATTTAAATAGTTGAAGTCATGCTGTAGATAAAGCTCAACTGGGCATGCAGGGAGCAGATACTTTTTGATTTAGCTATATTTTGTACTATATCTGTAATGCTGTGGTGTAAATTAACTTTTAGTAGAAGCAAGCATGTCACTGAAGATAATGTTTTTTGAGAAATGATTGTCTTGCAGCTAATGGATCCAGTCAGGAGATTTAATCCTGCGCAACATGCCCATGCTGGTGGTTTACGCTGGCTCCAGTTTTCATGAATGAATGTCCCCCATTGGTTCTTCAATTTAAAGCTCTGTAATGCAAATAAAGACAGTTTAATTATTTTTTTTATTTTTTATTTTTTTTTATTTTTCTGTCACCTTTATCCTGACAGAGATATTGAAAGGTCAACATTTGTGCATCTCCACAAATAAAACATTTCTATATAATCCTTAAATTTGTTTGTAGGCATGCACAATGTCTAAACTAAATCCAACTTGACACATATCAGGTTTGCCTATTTATTTTTCCCCTGCTTCCTCTCTTGGCATTTGGTTAGGAGATGGTGCCTGTGTCCATTCCTTGGATGTTGGCCAGTCCTCCGGTTGATAGGTCCTTTGATATATGGAGGCTAATAGGAATGGTAAGCAGCACAGTGCAGCATAGAATGGGGCAATGGGGGGGGGGTTTCTAAAATAACCTACCTCGCCCACCCTAACACACCCCGACCTGCTGTGGTGGGTTTTCCCCCCCTGATTTTAAAACAGGCTGTGAGACGCAGATCAATTCGCCAGACCTCAGTGGTACAACCCATTAAAAATAGAATCGATTGGTTTTGTGCAGGCTGGCTTAAAGAGACAAGCAGCTGTGCTTTATGTAACACCGGGTACAGAGGGAATATGATGTTTGAGGATCAGCTAACATTTCTGGGACTGACACGCAGTCTGAATTTAAAGACCTGAAACATGACTTGGCATAAGTGAAAATGAGCTGGACATGTTGACTGACAGTAATCACACGGTACTATATTTTATGCTTCAACCTTTCGGTCCAGTGCTCTGGCAGAAGTTGTTTTTTTAACATTCATTATTTTTTCTATCTTTACCACAGTCAAAACATGAAAGTGATTGTGATTAAAGAAATGAATGCACCCTTGTTTCCTTCTGGGGCTAACTATCCATGAATGAGATGTACTTTGACTTAGACTTGTATCCAAAAACTACAGATTTGATTGATTTGTGACTTCCTTGATTATTCATTTAGTTTTTTAGTCAATAAAACATAAAAACTGTGAACAAAATATAAGAAAGCTCAATATAGCATAATCGGATGTATTATTTTGTCCAACGAACAGTCCAAAACCACAAAATATTTAATCTATTTTGATATAAGACAAAGAAAATGTACTAGTAATTGCGACTGAAAACTTAAATGAGCTGTACATCTTTTTAAGATTTACCTGAGATCTGAGTCATCTGCTCATTCTCTCTGCGTGTGGTCTCACTTGACTCAAGTCTGATACTGTAAATTGGATCTGGGAGCCCCTGAACTGAGAGTTGACCCTTTGGTCCTTTGGTCAGTGACCAAACACTCCGGAGAGGCCATCGTCCAACATTTGGGTGATTTACTGTATTGCGTCTATTCTGCACACATAAGCATATGTGTGCGGGAGCAGAAGAGAACATTTCCCTGTATGTCAGAGATTAGTTACAGAGGGGCTGACATTACAAACCAGCCTGGTTGAAGTTGGAAAGGCAGTTAAGTCAATGAGAACTCTTACCTTAATGTCAGATGTCATGACCAACTTCTGCTATCATTGACTTTGGCCTGGAAATGACAGATTAAAGTTAAGCCATAAGTAAATATAATTTGTTTTAGCCCATATTAGCAGAAGCTCACATTCAATAAAGAGAAGAAATGCACAGATTGATTTGCTATTTAGCCTTTTATATTTCACATTTCTTATAATAATGGACAGAGCTGCCTTAAATCAGTATCTTACTACAGTAGTATAGGTGAAATGGTTTTTAGACTTCTAGCAGCCAGCAGTCTTAAATAAGAGAACAAAATGTCTCAACATTGTCCATGTTCTAGTGCTGTGGTAGGAAAATGTGTGATTTATCCAAAGATGGCAGTGGACTGTATGTACTGCAAAATGAGGTCACCTTTCTTTAGGCAGTGTTGAGTTGGTCTGCTGCTGCTCTTGCTCAAGTCTGAAAGTAAAACGGGCGACTGTTAATAATCCTACTTAGATGCAGAAAAAAAAGACCATTAAAATACTTTTAAATGTAAAATCACTTGGAAATCTACTGCTCACCTTTCCCTTTGTGCTCTTATCTTCTCATCATCATACCTTTAAAACAAGAGAATAGAAATCTCAGGATCATTTTTCATTAAATCAACATACTTCTTAGCAGTGGTACAAAGAAGCTACATCCACAACAGTATGAGTCAAAGATTATTTCTGTTATTGTAGTACCGTTATGAGACTCACCCAGCTGAAACTATTGAACTCCACAGTTCAGCCACTTTTATTCAAAATATATATGAATACCAGTATGATTTTTTACTTTTTAGAAATCCTGTTCTACTGTATGCTGTATGGGACTTGGCAGTCATGGTCCAAACACATTAAAATAAACAGTGACAACTATAGATTTAAATAAATGCTAACATTAAACATTAGTTAAAGTTAAATACAGTTTGGCTCAGGTTTAGTTCAGTCACTTTATTGTGAGTTTCTCTCAAGGTGTTACTGAAAGAAGCACATAACATTAGCAGTGACAGACATGTGCAGTGTCTCAACAGTGACCCTTGGTGGCTGAGAGTACTTACTGCAACACACACTCAGGGATCTGCACATGCTCCATTGGGATGATCTGGCTGAGCTCCTCCAGGGTGTGAACGTACCGGATCTTATCCATAAACTTCACACTGTAGAAAACATAAACAACATGTCTGAAAACTATACATTTACATTTACATTTTTGTTATGGTCTGAATCTGCATGCAACTAAATAATCCCTAATTTATTTTGTTTCTTAGATTTGTTTGGAGAAGAGGTTCTCAGCCAGTATATAACTCAAAGGATAGACGGATGAACTATGAACCAAACTGAATGTATCCTCACCTAATGAAAGGTCTTGAGATCGCCAGGACGGTCCGGATGAACCACGTTGGGTGAGCAATGATGAGACACTTTAGATTCTTCCTCAATCTGCAGGAGACATTCAGATTTAAAGTGTTTGCAGTGTTTTCCTCCTTCTCATAATCATTTTAATCATAATCAATTCAAATTGTATCGTCATTTATCTTTCTATCTTTAGGATCAACAACATTAGTTTTATATTCTTGTCTATGTTCTCATTTCCATCACACACTTACTTCCTGTCAATCATCTGGTAGCATCTCTTCAGCCAGCTGATGCCGGGCATCTTCCTGCGAGGAGTTGCTCCATTCATGTAAACAATCATGTAATCTTCTGCAACCAGAAGCTCCAGGCTGCTCACAACGTATCTGAGGACAGAACAAACACACTCAGATGTGACTCAGACTGTACCATACAAGATAAAAACATTTTACTTGAAAGAATTCCTATATAGAAGTGGATCTTATCCAGATATACAGACGATCGGCCCCAATTCCAGCAAACTGTGATGCACTGTCTGTTCTGACACCTTTCTATCAGAACCAGCCTTAACTTATTTAGCAATTTGAGCTACAGTAGTTTGTCTATTGGACCTCACTTTTGATAGGTACTGACCACTGCAGACCGGAAGAACCCCACAAGAGCTGCAGTTTTGGAGATGCTCTGACCCAGTCGTCTAGACATCACAAT